CTAAACATTTCATGTTTCACGCCCATTCTCAGTTCTCAGGTGAGATCCGAATATCTTACAATTTTCCTTTCTTTGATACTCAATCTATGGCTTTCAGGAATGTCCATATCCTTATTCTGATTGTTTCGCTTGTTCACAATTCTGACCGATTATCGTCAGTGTTTCCGAATTGTGGTTTGAGAGATTTGTTACCACTTGATACGATATCTGCCAAATTTTTCTGAGGCTAAAATGAGTAATAATAAGAAAAATAGAAAGAAAAAATAAATTGTTTTTTTTAGAGACATTTAACATTCTTGCAAGCTCTCTATTTTGATTATATTATTGTTCGGTCAATTATTGTACTGCTAAAATGCAAAAGAATAGCTCTGATAAGAATGCTGTTTTACGAAGAATAGCTTTCTGGAATCCCTGCCCAAAGAATAGCTTCAGATAAGAATTTGGCTACTTCTAAGAATTTGTTGCTTTTCAGTCTGAAATCCCGCTAGCTTCAGAAGAATCAGTTTCGGCCGCCTTAAATTATACAAGAATCAGTTAAATCCCTGCCTTATTATGAACTTTCAGATAAGAATGTCAAATTGACCCAGATAAGAATTTGTATTTCGAAGACGTCTTTGATTGTTTTGTTACGGCTTGTCAACAGTAAGAAAATCAAGATTCTAAGAAATTTTTAACTAATAATGAGTTACTGATACACGTCCCAAATTAACCCATAGTTGGAGGGAAAGATGCTATTCCCAATGATATTTGCATTAATAATTAACGAATCCGACTGAATTCGATCCTCAATTCCGAGCTGTTACCGATACCACGTTCACAGTATTCCTACAGCAGCCAAATCTAGATACTGACCATGTTGGACGTTGCTTAATTAGTCGTAAATAAGCTTTAATGTGATATGTGGCCTCATCCAAGGTTACAGCATCTGGTATTTCTAAACGGTCACCCATCTAAGTACAGGCCAGGCCCGACGTTGCGTAATTTTAGTAATCGCACTTAAACTGGTGTTTCAGCGTGATATGACCGTTAGCCATACCATCCCGACATATAAACTTACAACATCTAGTATCCCCAAGCGGTCACCCATCTAGATAGTTACCAAGCTAGACGTTGCTTAACTTCAGCTCATTTCACATATGATCTTTCATACCATCCGGGCATAGCTAAACCAAGGTATAAGAGAACTTGTTTCAATAACCTTAACATTAGGTCATCAATGTTATTTATAACGTAGGATTCCAAGCTCTATTTTTTGGTTATATCATCGTAGTTATATTCTGATGCTGTTTTGAGACTTTCAGATGATTTGGCTACTTCTGTTTGTTGCTTTTTTAGCTGTTTCAAACTAATGTTAAATTTATGAACTATTTGCAAAACCTCTTGTACCTAGTTTTGTTAACAGTAAGTCAGGTGTGTCTTGTAGAGCAATAAATAGAATTTTACGGTGAATTCGATCCTAACTGCGTACCGATACATGTAAAGTTGTGCCAAACTAAGCTAGGCTTAGTTAAAATACATACGTGTGGTCTTGTGATAAGCTAATTTAACTACTGTGTTGCCTTTTATGGTTTTACGCCGAAACTTGTAACCATAGGGCTACATATACTAATTTAATAACCTGTGTACCAATACATATTTCCTTGTGCCAAACTAAGTTAAGTTTAGTTAAAAACCTCTGTACCCAAATGGGTAGTCTTGTGCTAAATGAATCGTAGTTCATAACCTGTTAAATGTTTAGTCAAACAACGTGTGTACACATACATGTGGCAAACTAAGTTAAGTTTAGTCAACAACGTGTGTACTCATAGTTGTGGCCTTGTACTAAGCCAGGCTTAGTTAATAAACTGTGTAACCAAATATGCGGCCTTGCGCCAAACTAAGCTAAGATTATTTAATAACCATGCCCATGCCCTTGTGCCAAACTGTGGATTAGCTATGAATCTGTGTACACATGCGTCTGCTCTTGATTTAAATTGTGGATTAGCTATGAAACTGTGTACGCATACGTGTGTACTAGTGCCAAGCCGAGGATTAGCTATGAACCTGTGTACACATAATTGTGTTCTTGTGCTAAACTGCGGATTAGCTATAAACCTATGTACAAATACTTGTACCAACTTGTATACAAGTCGTTGTGCCCTTGTGCCAAATTGAGGATTAGCTATGAACCTGTGTACACATGTATGTACCCTTGTGCCAAACTGAGGATTAGCTATGAGCCTGTGTACACGTACATATGCTGTTCTTCCAAACTGTGTATTAACTATGTACCTGTGTACACATACTTGTGCTGTTGTTCCAAACTGAGTATTAGCTATGAACCTGTGTACACATACCTGTGCCCTTATGCGAACCTGGCGTTTAGTTATGAACCTGTGTATATATACTAGTGCCCTTGTGCCAAACTGAGGATTAGCTATGAACTTGTGTACACTTCGTTGTGCCCATGTGCCATACTGAGGATTAGATATGAACCTGTGCAGTTGTTCCAAATTAAGGATTAGCTATGAACCTGTATACACGTACCTGTGCTGTTGTTCCAAATTTAGGATTAGGTATGAACCTGTGTACACATACTTATGTCCTTGTGCCAAACTGAAGATCAGCTATGAACAAATTTTATATTAGTTTATAACCTGTGTACCCATACGTGATCCTTTGTCCCAAACTAATTGTAGATTAGTTATGAACATCCGTACGTATACATGTGGCCTTGCGCCATACTATGCTAAGCTCAGTAAATGTTAAACTAAAAGAAGACACCATCATTATCTATGGATCAACAACCGTATTTCACTTTTCCGCGGTTTTCCAAATCAGCCAAACTTTAATGTTTAAAACTGTTATTAATTTGAAACTACGTTGCAAACTATATTTCAAAAGAGTAAAATGAATAAATCTGACATGAAATAAATATTTTGTAATAATAATATTTTGACAATATAACAAAAACATTATCAATTTAAAACGCTCTCGCGATCATCAAAGTCTGAGTCATAAAATGACTATAAGAATGCATGATTTTTGTTCCCACCCTTAACTAAATTTCTGGTTGGAAGACATGAACAAAAATGTGTTCCAATTGACTGCAGTTGAGATTATGAGGCCATAAATGCGACTTGGAGAAACTTACTTATTTCCAATTTTACGTGGTTAAGAATGGATTTACTGAAAAAGATGGTATATAAAGCGATAAGAACAACAAAAGCAGCAGCGAAAATTGAAGAAACCATTAAAAAATAATTAAAACCTTTCATCTAATAATAAAAGCACTTCGTCTAGAGAAAGAAAGAAAGAATGAAAGAAAGAAAGAAAGAAAAAGAAAGAAAGGAATAAATAAAGAAAGAAAAATAAAGAAAGAAAGGAAGAAAGGAAAGAGAGAATGAAAGAAAAAGAAAGAAAGAAAAAAGGAAGAAAAAGAAAGAAAAAAGGAAGAAAAAGAAAGAAAGGAATAAAGAAAGAAAAAAGAAAGAAAGAAAGGAAATAAAGAAAGAAAGAAAGAAAGAAAGAAAGGAAGAAAGGAATAAAGAAAGGAAGGAAGAAAGGAATAAAGAAAGAAAGAAAAGGAAAGAAAAGAAGAAAGAAAGAAGAAAGGAAGGAAGAAGGAAAAATGAAATGTAATCTTTGCGACATTTTCAATGGTATTTTTGTGATTATTGTCCATCGTAACTCGTCTGAAACTACCATTTGTTTAATTCAAACCTTTGTTGTTACCCATCCGTGACACCAGTACAGTGGACACTGTGTTGGATTTAATAATAATAATAATAATAATAATAATAACAACAACAACAACAAAAGTAGCAGAAACAGGAAGAACGACAACAATAATAAAAACAAGCAGTAACCGTGAAAATTTCGTGGTTGGCCTATTTGAATTTTTTGATGAATCATAATTCTTAAGTGACTGATTGAATAAGTTCCTTGCTAGTTCACCGATTATAAAATTCCATTATAGCATCTTTAAATATTCGTGTTTAACAATTTAAACAAAATAATCCAATAACAAGCATAAGTATGAATGTAAGACATTATTTAAAAAAGTAAAAGGGTACAAATAAAAAAATTCAAAACTGAAATTTCAACTTCAAAGTGAAACGTTAGTCGAAACGTTGCGTCTGTATCAAGCAAGTTGAGAAAAATATTCTGGAATAATACAAGAATATTGACAATTACTAATCTCAGAAATGAAATAATAAATTTTGAAAATCGGTACGAACCCAGTATCATAACCAAATGTCAAAAATCATCTGACATTGAATATAAAAGTCTCCGAAATATGGAAGTTGATGTTATTGTCATTTAGCGGCTATGAGTTTAATCCTTAGGTGGGGAAGCAACAATTCAACAGGAATGAACAATAACTGACATTGCAGAGACAAAATATCAATAATCAATACATATCTCATATCAGCCAATCAATGGACACCTGATGATGACCAGAGTGTACTTGATCGAAACGTTGTATCTATAATAACGTCTATATCAACCAAGATGAGAACAACAGTTCGAAATGATACAAGGAAATTCAACGAGGAAATTTTAAGGAAAGCAAAACAAAAAGAACATTTCTACTTCGAATCGGAAAGAGACACCTGGAATTTCTAGGTGACGTAACGAGGAAAGTGGGTTTGGAGAATTTGACACTCACATGACATATTGAAGACAAGAGGGACAGGAGAATACAGCGTATAACCTACCTAGCGAGATTGTATAAATGGATGGCAGATCAGGGAATGAGAGAGACAGCGAAAAAAAAGATAAAGCTTGCTAAGAGCTACAAAGAATAAGGAAGTTGTGAAGAACCATGATTGCTCGCGTCATGAAAGGTCAACTTTGCCTCCTTATTTAATTATTTGCTACTTCACCCATTTCCTTCTTTTCAGATAACCACCATATGTGTCATTTTTACTTTTTGAAAATAACTCCGTCATCTCTGATAAATTAATAACTCTAATTTTTTTTCAAGACCCTGCCTCTCGCTCAATCATTTCCTCTCTATGGATTTTATACCATATCTCTTTCTTTTTCTCTCCCTCCTACTGCTACTCACTCTCTCTCTCTTTCGTTTTGATTTTTCTTTCTCCAAATTTGGTGCTTCTGCTTTCTTTCTCCATCCCCGCCCCAACTCTTTCTTCTGGATCTTCGCAAATGTTGCACATCTTATATCAACCTGTTGCAGAGGTGACCACCAAGTGTGAGACGTTCTTGGAAAACCAGCTGTTAGGTGTGGTGTACACGTGAACGAAAAAAACAACGCTATCAGCGACCGGAGTGTGTGTGTGTGTGTGTATGAGAGAGAGAAAGAGAGAGAGAGAGAGAGAGAGAGAGAGAGAGAGAGAGAGAGAAAAAAAAAAATGGTATGAAAAATTAGACAACTCCCAAAGGCCATATGGCAACTATTTGTGCTAAGCCAGCAAAAAAAGAAAAAAAAAAAGAAAAAAAAAGCAGGCTCCCTCTGTGTCCGTCTTTAGGTCTCAACAAGCGCTCGCTTCGTCTCGCTTAATCAAACCACAGACCGGAGAAGGAAAACACTAAATCCTCCTCAAATAAAAAGATAACAGAATGAAACAGACATCACAAAGGCGAGTGGCCAATTATTCCATATCAGGAATAGCAGATAATTGTTTTGTTATGGGCTGAAGTCAACTAAGAATATGATGACGACGACGTGGAGGAGGTTGTTGTCTAGTATGATTTAATTTCAATTCAATTCGCCATGCAGGATGTCCCAAAAATCATCAAAGCAGTTTCAAATAATACGAGGGTGTGTCGAAATGCTCTCGGCCCAACTAAGGATGAATTCAAAAATTCAGATGTTTGGTAATTTGGTTAGATCTTGCGAAGTAGATCGGGTTGAAAACTTTTCAGCACTTCCTCATAATATTATTTCTATTGTCAGTCAGTTATGTCCCATGCGTGATACACGCTTAGGCGATCATGTATCTTTCGATTTATGACTGACTAGGAAGATATTTTCCTGCAGTAGATTGCCATTCTTTTCTGTGGTAGACCAGTTGCCATCAAAGGCTAAAGAACACAGTCATTGGGTTGGAGAAGAAGAGGATTCATACCTTTCCCAAGGGTATTAGAACGTAAGTGAATGTAATGGATTCGACTGGAATTCGAACTCAGCTCTCCGATTCATCAATTCGAGCCGCTATCCATTATTCCGCGCGTCCTCTGTTTCTACTGTAATATACTAATTAAAAAAGAAAAAAAAATACTGTATATGCGAGGATAAGTCGCACTTTTTTCATTAAAATTTCGATAAAAATCAGGGGTGCGAGCTATCCACTCGACATCATAGAGAATTTGAAATAGACTGTGGCGTATCAGTAGCCCAGGCGAATAAGCGAGAGCAAGGAAGAAAATGAATTTTTCCCGACATTTCGATTTTACGCAATCACCTCTTCCAAGACTACCGTCTTACACATTGAATAAAAGCGCTCAATCTCCACGGCTCATGTTTCTTGACCATGTTTGCCGCAGTCTCTGAATATGGAATCCAGTGAAGTCCGTAATCTGTTCAATATCAGTGGTCGGCAGTGAAGATTCAGAGAAAGCAGCGAGTGCTAAGTAATTCTTTAAGTCTTCGATATCAGGTTGGCAGGGCAGACAATTTGGGAGAAAAAAAAATGGCTGCCTATATACACGTCGCATTGAATATTTTGAGCTTTCTGATTGGTTAACCCTTCTATTGATGAACTATAAAATGAGTCAGCTCATTTAGGCTAGCTCACTAGTACATACATATACACAAAAAACTGCAACAATGTTTACCATTTATTATCTGATTTACGATGAAAGAATATCATTTTCAAGTGATTTTAGGACTGAAGCGATTACCGGTATCCAAATTTTCATCTAAAAGGAGCATCCCTGCCCTCGATAAGTAAATACAAATGGAAAGAATGTTTGTCAGTGACCACCAAAAATGAAAGAAAGATTTTTGAGCTTTCAGTCCTGATGAAGTTTAATAACTATATCTAAACGAATAAAAACATTTCTTATGTTTTATTATATGTAAGAAAATTTTTGAAATAAAGGTGAGTATTTGAAAATATTTAGCAAATATTAGTTATATACACGCTAAAAAAGGGTCAGGTAAATCCCCAGATTATAATGCTACCTATCTGTGAATCAGCTGCAAATACCCACTTTGACAACCCGAAACTAAGGTTGCAACCTATCTACTGGTATGACCTATCCGCGAGTATATATGGTAGTTTAATACCTCTGGCACCGGAATCAAAGTTTTGTGGTTCCAGGGTTCCCACTAGCGAGAAGTTCAGTTGAGAGACAGAAATTAGCAGGAAAAGTTGGTTTCAGTTACTAATGAAAATTGGCCGCTCCCGACAGCTGCTGATCATCATCACCTCCTTTCACGAGAACACACACAGGGGTGTAGTCAGCTATGATGGTGAAACTTCAGTGCCCTTCACAACTAGAAGTTTTATCAGGAACGGTGAAATCTTGTAAGAGCTGGGGATACTCTTGGCAAAACTTCTATTATCACTGTGTGTGATATCTACTTAAAAAATGGCGGAAAAAAAAAGAATCTAAATGAAATTGTTTAGATTAAAAAAAAAAAATTAAAGTAAAAATTCCCAGCATGCCTCATGCGTGCACAACATAACAAATTTGGTCCGATGATATCCTAAAGGACCAAACGATCCACAAAAATTTTTCCCCTTTGTCATATATTTTCCCCCAATATGATTCTTGATATATAAAAACATCGTTATCTCATATATTTTTGTGAGTGTGTGACGCCAAGTGTAGCGGTAGCAAGTCCTTTTTCCAAACAAATTATGTCTATATTTATCTATATATAAAGCGTATGATTTGACAGCCCTGTTTTTTTTTAATCAAGGAAATTAATGTCTAGCCGTCTAGAGATTGAAAGTCTTCATAAAAAAAATCTGCTACACAGCAGGAATCGAGCCTGAATTTCCTTTTAAATCTAGGAAACCGATCTTAAGCTAAGCTGGCTTTACCTTTAAGCGACAAGAAGCCATTACAGCAAAGCAAAGCTCAATTATCGTCATCAGGAAATTTTGGTTTGAAGTGGTTTCCAAGATTAAAAAGTGAATACGGAACCGATACCTGTTGGAAGGTACATTTTCTTTCTTAAGACTCGTTCTCTTTGCCAGCAGACATAAAATGTCTTTACGCACACATTCCTTGAAATAAGCTCATATATAATAAAAATTTAAACAAGAATAACCTTTCTTAATTCTTGTTAATCTTTTCTCGTCAACTTCTGTCGTTTGAGGTCGATGTTCGAGATCATAGTTGAATAACAAATTTCGCAAATGTCACATTGTCTTTCCCGAGGAATTGCACCGACTCATTCTTCACCAAACTGTCAACTACCTTGGCCTTGCGCGTGTTCCTGACTGATCTAAGCAAATTCAAATCCTGTTGTTTAATGATGTTAAGACGCGCAACAAATGATGCTAAGCGACGGAGATTTTCTTCTCGTTCTTTGTTCAAAACCTTGGTGTTTTTTCCCCTTCTGAATAATGTTTGTCAAAGAGTAAGAGAAACGAATCTGTGTGTCGTAAGTGAATACAAAGCCGTCAGGCAGATTGGCCCGAACACAACAGGAGATCAAGTTGGGTAATGGAAAGACAATATTTGGTTATTTTATACACATCCCCACGGTGAGCAAAGACGACGGAGAAGATCAGACGTTGATGGACTCTTTTAACTTGTCACATCCTATTGGACAAGGGGAAAAAAGATCGAGAAAACATAAAAAAAAAACAGGTAGGCAAGAAAGAGGACGAGAAAAAGATTAAGAAAAAAAGAAATGGACTACGAAAAAAAAAGAAGGAATAATTGAAGAAAAAAGGGAAGGAAAAAGAGAAGGAAAAAGAGAAGGAAAAAGAGAAGGAGAACGATAAAAGAAGAGCAGGAGATGAATAATGATAAAAGAGCAAAAAAACGGAGAATGATGAACAAAAAACGAATGAAAATAAAAGACAAATATATTTTAACATATAATAAAACAACTTTTATTCATTTTCTGCCAGAGAACAGCAAGGATTTGTTTGGATTTAAGCCGTGAATTCCATGTACGTGTCCGCTTGTCACCATGTTGAATTAAGAAGAGCCGCGTTCCCACAAGCGGACAAGGGAAGTAACTCACTTGTATTTTGAGTTATCGTCCTTTATAGAGGAAATAAATTAGCAAACCCTAACAACAAGATAAAAGGGAATAATCAGAAAATGCATTAGAAGGTGAATAAAATAAAATATTAAAATAAACGGGATTTGTATATATATGTGTAATAAAACAATAATTTTTAAAAATTGGATCTTAGAGTAGTGAATATTAATTTTTATTATCATTAAAGTGAAATTACTTGTTCCTATATATATATATATATATATATATATATATATAAAACCAAAACAAATTCAATTTTCCTAAAAAATAAACCGTAATTTATACTCAAAATTAATCTAGAGTGCTCAAAATCAGGGATTGAGCGTATGTAAAGAGCATATGGCCTGACTATTTCGATTATGCATGAAACAGACTATTACCTTTGGGCGTTGTCTTCAATGTTCATATATATATATATATATATACACACACACACACACACACACACACACACACACACATATATATATATATCCAGGTAAGATGAGAGCAAAGGGAGCACAATAGGTTGTATTTTGCTTTTAAATCTAAATAAATCGTTCACTTGTCAGTAATTTACAATCGCCTGATGAGATACATTGATACGCATCGAAACACGGCTGCAATTGTGTAGCGATTTTGACATGTTTTTCGATGTAATATCCTAATATATATATATATATATATATATATATATATATATATATATATATATATATATATTAATTAATGAGGATACTTTCACAGACTGTAGAAAAGTTTTTCTTGATGTCATTGACAATTCTCAAGTCATCAGTTTTATTGACGGAGAAGAAAACACAGAAGAACAAGCAAAAGAAAAGAAAACAATGAAAAATAGACTTACGGCTAAAATAACTTTGTAAGAAAATGAAATGACACGAAGGCTAATGCTTGGAAAGGCACGAACAGTTTATATCTGTAGACACAGAGAACACCATTAAAGTCAGAGCTCCCTATGTGTCCATGGCAAAACATCGGGAAGCTGAACAGCTGAAATAATAACAAA